TAAAACTGCAAAAAGGAGGAAGAGACAGGAGAGCAAACACTGCAGTGATGACACTGCTCAAGAAGAGAGAAAAGCTTCCAGCTGAACAGGAGCAGGGGAGGAACTGTGCTGTGTTCTCTGTGGTGCAGTGGTTGTGCTAATGACATAGAATTTGTGGATGAAAAGCTGCGAATGTACTGCGGGGTGACTTAGCAACACATTTCCTGTTTGTGGCTAAGTTAAATACTGTGTTTTCTCTTCTGGTAGCATACAGAGTAATTACTTTTTTCTTTTTTTTTCTTTTTTTTTTTTCCCTTCAGTGCAGTTAGGACAAAGACTCCAACACTTTTAACTTTCCTCTTCAGTTCTAGAAATGTTCTGAAGAACAGAACATTTCCCAGGGACTGAAAACTGAATCGCTGCTCTGCTGATCTGTCAACTGCACTTTTCAAGCAGAAGCCTATGCCTTGTCTGGCAAATGGAAATTCTACCACTGAATTATGAATTCTCATACATCCAGAATAGTTTTCCTTTTCGGATGTACTTGGAATGAGTGCCTTCTGCAGCCCTGCATGATTGAACTTTTGGTCTGTTTAGAGGGAGGGTGTTAAGAGCTGTAAGGTCTCATACTGCTGGGTTAGCCAGCTGTGGCAGCACATTTCTCTGCCTCTCAGGATTTTTCATAGAGGTGCACAGAGAGAAATGAAAGAGAAAACGATTTCTATTTCTGCTCCTTGTTTTCCCATGTGGAATGTGTTTGGAGAATTGTTTACCTGGGGTGTTGCTTGGTTGGATTCTGGTGAGGATTGTTTGAGCTGATGGCCAATCCAACCCACTGGGGCTGGGCTCAGAGAGGGTCACAAGTTGGGTGAGCGTTAGAGTCAGAGAAAGTAGTATGTAGTTTTAGTATCCTCCTTTTATATAGTATATTAATGTATTTTAGCATAGTTATAATAAAGAAATAATTCAGCCTTCTGAATTGAGTCAGACATCAGAATTCCTTCCCATTGGGTTCCCCTGCATTTCCAGTAGCCAGGCGTCCTCAAAGGCCACTTTCATCAGTTCAGACAGAAAATGCTGCACGTTTTGGGGATGCTCAGAATGCCTCGTGCTTATCAGTGTCTGACCATTTTGCTGTCAGGTAATTGTGTGATCTCTGTGAGCTGCAGTGCTTGTGTGGCTGAATGGGACTGAGATTACACAGAAGGAGAAATGTCAGCACCTACAGAGCAGAGGCTTTTTGGAGTTACACGTTTGCAGTGTTGTGAAATGATATTTGGAATAAATAGTTCTGAAATCCATTCGCTTCAGAGATGAAGCCAAGTTAAGAACAGTTTGTACAACTACTCGTTTCCACCCTCAGGCCACACTGTTGCTCTCGGAGTTGAGCCAAAATACTGCATTGCAGTGCCTGCCAAAGTGAGGTTTGTCTGCCTGCCTTAGGCAGAGTTGTGGTTTTCCGGAGAGTTTTTTGTTTGTTTTGTTTTGGTGTTGAGGGGCTTTTCCCTGTAAATGTTTCCTTATTGGGACAGCTACGTTATTTCTCTTCACTCCTTTTGTTTGGAACTACCTGCAGTTTATATGGCATAAAGTTCCTTAGTTCATACATGGAATATTTGCATCTCAGTCCTGGAAACTGGAGTGGGGTAGGGGAAGGACACTAAAATGCAGCAGTATGACTAAAAACATTTTCAAAAACAAAACAAGAGGCTTCAACTTCTGCTGAGGAGGCTGTGAAGTGGATCTAATGACACTCGATCTATGGCAAGCTTTTCAAAAGCAGGTCTCCAGCAAATCCTGGAGCAATGTTCTGTACAACACAGACAATTTTAAGCCACAGCTGAAATCTCCAAATGGAGACTTGCAAAGCATTTGTAAATCAGAGTAAAAAAAATGAAATAACTCTGTTAAGCAAGCAGCTGTCTGTCCCAGGAGAGCAGGCAAACGCAGGAAGGGGAACTAAGAGCAGCTGTGGGTTGGCTTTTCAGCACATGATGCAGCTGCAGCCTGATGCTGCACATCTTTTCTCCATCACTCAGACAGGGGTACGTTCATTACAACGTACCAGCCCTGACACAGCAAATCCCCTGGGATGTTTTCAGGGATGTGTGGTGTCCCCACACCTGCCTTCACTGCTTTTTGTCATGTTTTGCTAATGTCAAGAATGTGATCCGAGTTTTACTCCATCAAAACTAAATTAACTCAAGGCCTGACTACATTTGCTCAGTTTTCTCGATTTCCCACACGTGCCACTTGCTTTCACTCACACCACAAATTATTTTTGGCATGTTGTGCCAGCTCTCCTGAATCTTTGAGGTCAGTTAGTGTAAAGGTTTTACTGAGAACACTTGGCAAGTGCAGTGTGAGGAGCATTGTGGCAAATGTAGAAAATCTAAGGACAAGAAGTTCTTGAGCACTTAAGAGTTATGCTGAACAAACAGTGCTACAGAATTTGGTTTAAAAACTCTTAAATTTGTGCACATAGATGCCAGGCTGTTGGAAATTTTTCTCTGAATGTGGACTGACTGAACTTCATGCTCCAGATATGGGTGCTGCTTAATACACAAAAATAGAGACAGCAGAGGAAACCCAAAATGGTAATTAGAGCTAACTGAAAAGAAGAAAAAAACAGATTTGAGCATTTCTTTTTAACTAACCATTGCTAAACCGGTTCTGTAGAATGATATCCTGTAAACTATAAATGGATGTAGTTGGAAATAACATTATATTGCCTGACATTGCAAATAAGTGTTTAATGATTACTTGATTAATTTAATAATTTCAACTTAGGCATAAGATGGTATCATAAACTATGTCCAAATAATTATTGTTAAAATCATCAGAATGAAAAAAAGATTTATATAGAAAGGAAGAGATGAATCTCAAAGGAAGTTTTAGAACAGAGCATCTAGACAGAGCTGGTCTATTTTATAACCTCCTAACTTCTGCTGCCAATATTGTACTTTGATTTCAAGACACCTGCCAGTTTTAGAGCTGTCATTTATTTGAAAGGTGGTATTGTCAGATTTCATCAGCAGGTTTGCATTGCTGGATTTACTTTACGAGAAGTATTTCCTCCAATACTCAGGTGAGCCTAAGAGAGTCACAAGAAAAGCAGACAGCCCCCTGAATCTCAGGCTTTGCATCTCTGTGTATGTATTAGACAGAGATCAGAAATTCACTATTCTGTCTTGTTTGTCTTTTGGGACTCTCTCCTAGAGGGCAATAAATGGATAAATTTATATCTGAATGTGGACTCCAAAGGATTGCCCTTGTCACACCAGAACAACAGATCATGATGTTGTTCATAACTGCTTTCTCAACATAATTTAGCAGGTATCAATTCAGGTATACTAACACAAAATGTGTATTTTTCTTTAAAAAACTGAGCTGAAGACATGTCAACATGATGCCTTTAATCACCAGATGTGTGACCCATGATTTTCCTCTGTCCTGGCTCACACAGAGCATCCTGAGAGTCCTTCAGTTTACAGAGCGAGGCTCAGCCGAGGGGATTCTGGAATCCACAGAAATGTTTAAGCAATTTTTCATTGTTGCAAGCCATGGGTAGATGAGTCCGAGATCGCTGAGCTGGAGAAGAGAGAAGCAGAATTGGGGTGCTCTCAGCAGCCTTCCAGAATTGCCGGGAACCTTCTCCAAAGACAATTTACAGGAGCACGTAGTGACAGAACATGGGGGAGTGGGTTCAAGCTGGAAGAGTGAAGGTTTCTGTGAAAAATGCCAATCACTTGGTTTTTAAAATTTTATAAGTTTAATAATAATAAAATGGTTATAAAAATAGTAATACAATTAGAGTAATACAGTTTAGAGTTAGGACAATTACAAGACAATAAAAAGTAAAGAATTATGGACGTCCGGATGCTCTCGGACACTAAGTCATGAAAAGCATAACTTGTGAACAAAGGAATAACCTTAAAAGCAATAGCCTGCTGCATGTTCATATATCCTTTAGGTTATGAATACATTCTATTTAAAACAAGAACTCTGTCTGTTGTATGTCAACTGTTTCCTTTAATCCCCATGGCAACTTCGAGTCTGAGCAAGGCCTGAAGAAATTAGCTTCTTCTGATAAGAAAACCATAAATTCCTTTTCTCTGGAAGATTTAGGTGTTCTTCAAAGCAAGTATCTCATTCCTAAAAAAAAAAAAAAAACCAACAAAAAACAAACTCCCTCCACATACATAGTTAAAATTAACATTATTTTAAAGCCTAAAACTATATATAACACACTACTTAAGAGAATTAATACAGCATAACTTTTTAACATTACACATATCATACTCATTGTAACATTTGCGAAAAGCCAATCATAAAATACGCATTTTTCCACAGTTTCCAGTCGGCATTAGGTAGAAATCCTCGCCTGTGAGGATGGGGCGAGGGGCGCATCCCTGGGCGTGCCCAAGGCGAGGAGAGCCGGGGACTGCAGATACCTGGGCGGGCGGCAGGAGCGGGGGATGCTCTCCACAGCGTCACGGCCCCACAGTCCCACGGCCCCACGGCCCCACAGCGTCACGGTCCCACAGCCCCGCGGTCCCACAGCCCCGCGGTCCCACAGCCCCGCGGTCCCACAGTCCCACGGTCCCACGGTCCCACGGTCCCACGGTCCCACGGCCCCACAGTCTCACAGTCCCACGACCCCACAGTCCCACGACCCCACAGTCCCACGACCCCACGGCCCCACAGTCCCACAGCCCCACGGTCCCGCAGTCCCACGGTCCCACGGCCCCACAGTCCCACGGCCCCACGGCCCCACAGTCCCACGGCCCCGCAGTCCCGCAGTCCCACAGTCCCACGGCCCCACGGCCCCACAGTCCCGCGGTCCCACAGTCCCGCAGTCCCACAGTCCCACGGCCCCACAGCCCCACGGCTCCGGGCGCCCCTCAGGGCTCCGCCATTTGCTGCGGACGCAGGCGCGCAGGGCGCAGGCGCGCGCGGGGCGCTCAGGCGCGGTGGCCCGGGCGGGCCGTGCGCATGCGCGGCGGGGCAGCGGAGCCGCCCCGGGCGGAGCGGCAGCGGGAGCGCCGAGGGGGGGGGCGGCCCATGGGGCCGTGAGCGATCGGTTCGGCCCGGCTCGGCTCGGCTCGGCTCGGTTCCACCCGGCCCGGCCCGGCCCGCAGACAGCCCCGCGGAGCCATGGACGGACACGCGGGTCCGGGCGCGGGCGGCGAGGAGCCGCTGAGCTCCGGCAGGATGAACGCCAAGCGCGGCGGGCGCGCCGCGGAAGAGGAGAGCCGGAACAAGCCCAAGCTGGTGAGCGGGGACGGGGGATCGGGCAGGAGGAGGAGGAGGAGGAGGAGGGAGCGGGGATGCGCCGCTCCCAGCGGGGAGCGAGGGGCGAAGGAGCCGTGCCGGGCACTGAAGGCTCCGTGCGGGTTTGGGCGCTCCCGCACCGGCAGCGCCCACCAGGGCCGGGCCGCGCTGCCGTGCCCGGGGCCCGGGGGGTTCGCGGGGTTCCCCCGCCCGGGAGGCGACAGCGACAGGGACAGCGACAAGGGACAGCGACAGCGACAGGAACAGCGACAGCACCGCAACCTCTGCCCCGCTCCGCCACCCAGCCGGGGTGCGGCTGCCTCCGGCTGAACAATCCAGAACGCCGGCGATCAGGATGCCAACCACGTGCTTGCCAGCCTCTCACTTCATCGGGAAATTATTTAAGAAACTGGGTGTTGCCTTATGGTTTTATAAAAAGTAAAGCGTCTTTAGGACTGCAGTTTGTTCGTTATGGCTAACCTCTTTGATTTTTTTTTTTACTGACAGACCTGATAAGTGGAAATACAGGCGGCAGCATCACTGGGTTGTATCACAGTTCATAATTCTGCAGTAGCAAAACCAGCTAATGTGACAGTGTTTGCCATTGATTGTTTACATTTTTTAGTTGCACGTGTTGAATCTACCCAATTTAGCTCAGTTCTGGTTCGTATTTCCAAGAGCAACACTGTAGCAAACACTTAAAACTCTCTGTGTCTTCTCCTCGGAGAGATTACTAAAGTTGCAAACTTTATTTAACCTGTTGCAAGGGCTTTCCCCGATGCAGGTGAAACTGAGTTTTGAAGTTTTCCTACCATGTGTTCCTTTTAGCGAGTATATAGCTTTCAGATAATTAGCCTGACAACCGCAGTTTGGGTTCTTGTTGCTTGTTTGGGATTTTCTCTTCTTTTGTTTGTTTTCTTTGTGCTGAGCATGAAGTTAGAGTCTGGGGAAGTTGGTGAATATATAACATTGAGGCATAGAAAAGTTACTGAAAGTTATCCTTCTTTCAGAGGATGAGTTGCATGAATGACTTGAACTGTGCTTGTATTAAAAGTGGCAAAGTGTATCTTGGCAAAAGATAAGCAGATGTGGTGTCTTGTTTTGTTTCATGGTGTTATTGGAAACAAACTCATGTTTCCTTGCATAGGATAAACTTTGTATAAACAGTACCTTTGGGGGTGTTTACAGTACCTCTACTATTTCCTGCTGAAGTACTGAAGAAGGCTGCCTGGAGATTCCTGCAGGGAACTGATTCAAAAATCACTCAGGGAAGTGCTTCTGTTGGAAGCTGTGAACATAAATTTGAATTTTGCTGTAGCAGAAGAGAACTCTGTTCTGATAGAAACACATAATTTGAAAAATCAAAGTGAAATGAGCTCAAAATTGGATTGAACAGGATGACTATTTCCACTGCATGATCTATTCAGTTATTCTAGAATCACTAGAATAAACTTTCATTGTTCCATTGAGTGGGAAAAAAGAACATTATGTTAATATTTGATTTCATTCACAGCAGTATGCTTTTGTTTCTTGAGGGGGTGGATGATTGCAGTCCAGCAGCACCCTGGATCAGAGCAGGGATATGTTGCTCAAATCAGAGCCTTCAGAAAGATAGTTTTGCTCTGTGGGGTAAGTGAATGGCCTTAGATGCTATAATTGAGTGAGTGGGTTGAATAGGAAAGCAGATTATTTTCACTCTGGACATGATGTGCACAAGTGGTGTATAAACCTGACATGAACCGAGATTTACTTTGAAGGAGTAAGAAGGGTGGGATTCAGGTGTGCTTTCATTTGAGGTGACTGGACAGCCAGATTTATCAATTCCTACCACGGGTTTGTAAGGGAAGAACAAGCCTGTAATCAGGGAAAAGCTTCATACAGGAGAGTAATCCTGTGACATTTTGCTGCCTTTAATTTGAGTGAGGAATTGCTTCTGGGGCTGACAATGTCTTCAGGCACTGGGAGAACACTCTCACCTGCACCTCATCGCTGCTCTCTTTTGTGCAAGATAAAGGTGTGTTCAGGACCTGTGGCAGAGGAGCCACGCTGTTTGTGCTGTGCTGAGTTGTCACTGAGCTCATGTACCAAGTTCCTCACAGCTGGGTGTGGAGATTTCCTTGGTTCATCTTTGTAACTTATAATTCATCGAGTTTCATTGGAGTTACAGAGATGAATCAACCTGCACTCCCTGTCATGCCTTGGGTGTAATTCAAGGAGCTCAGTGTGCTGGCAGGAGTGTGCCTCCTCCCAGAAATTATTTCTCACATCAGGGGAGTGCTGAGCAAGGCCTTGCTGGGAGAGGGTGTGCAGCTACACACAGAGGAGAAAGTATTTTTGGTTCCTGGCACAGGAGCTGAAATTAGACAAATCCTTGGGAAGAAGTCCAGAGGAATGATTTTTATACGATAAAAATGGCTCTAGGTGACAGAGGGCTAGGAACTGAAGTCATTATCCTGAGGGAAGGGAAACTAGAATAGAAAGGTGGAAGGTTTTGATTTCCCTGTTCTCTTCATCTGAAACTAAAAGGTGTGCAGTGCTGCTTGGCCTGCAGAAGTGTAATGGTTTGTCTGGGGGGGTTTAAGGGCTGCAGCCCAATCAGTGGCACTTTTTCCTGATGGACAGGAAGCAGGACTGGGCTGTTGAGAGAGAATCTGTGCTGGGAAGGAAAACAATGCTTTAAAGTATTTCTCTGAAAGACAATTGACTATATACACACACAAATAATTAAAGGTGAGCTGGATCAGAACTACTAATTCATTTATTTTCTGCTTTGGGTAGTTGGGAGAGGTGTTCAGGTTTCATACAGTTTCTGAGCTGTACAATGGGAATTTAGTTCCAGTTTTTATAGTAGTGGTGTGTAAACTGGAGTATTTTACTGAAGTTTGATATCAATGTTAAGAGCACCTGGACTCAACTGCTGCTGAGGAGCTCCAGCTTGGTGTTTTAGGGTTTTTTTTTCCTCTTTTTTTTTTCTGGCTTAAGGACTAGATGTTGGAATAAGTGACTGGTATTTTTGTCATCACTTTTGTTTCCAGTGAAATGGGCAGGAAAAAAATCTAGATTGTTTTGGCAAACAATCATCTGATCTCACATCAGCCCTGAGAATAGGCTGGCAGGAGGTGGCAGAGAGCAGTTCCATGGGTTTGGCAACATGCTAATTTGCTTATTTTAAAGCATGCCTGTTCTGCTAGGGCAAACAGACTAAATTAAGGTTGTCAGGGAGATTGCTGGGATTCCTCTGCTGGTTAATGCTTTACTCAGATGTTCTTTGCTCTCCTCCACGCTTCAGTCACTTGGGAAATAGATAATTCTGTCAGGGACCTAGGAAAGGGGAAGTGCTTGAGAGTGCCAGCTCTGGTGTGACGGAGCTGGCGTAGCTTCCCAAGGCTGAGCATCATTTTGGTTGAGAAGTTGAAGTCAGACTTTTTGACAGAAGTTCATGGCAGAAGAAAGGAAGGCAGAGGTCATAAAAAGGAGCTGGAGAGGAGATGAAAAAGGGGAAGATGATTGAAAGGACTTTTTGGTCAGAGACACTGAAATCGCTGTTCTTGGAGGTTTTCAAGTTCTGAACCTGGACAGAGCCTTTAGAATGCTGATGAGAATTTGGTGGGTGACTCTGCTTTTTGGGCAGGAGTTTGGGCTGCCCTGAGAAAAGAATGAGATCCTTTCAAAACCTGTGGTTCTGTGAGTCAGTGCTTGAAGAGAGGTGCTGTAACAGGATTTGGGGTGCTCTGGGAGTGTTGGAGCACTGCCTAACTAGAAATGAACGTGGCCAGTAGTTTTTGGTGGTGGTTTTAATTCCAGTTAATATCTCCTGTCACTTTAGGATTAGCAGAAGCACGTGGTAGTGAGGGCCATGCTATCACACGCTGCTTTACCCCCAGGTTCCCTCCAGGTCTGTGTGGGAGCTGTTCAGTGCAGGATTCTGCACTTCCTACAAACCACATTTCTGAAAGGGGCTGCCTTCTGAGTGTGATGTGGCCTTTGAAATCAGATTAGGAGAAAGATGTTGTGTAACTTGCAAAACAAATTATTAGGGGAAGAGAGAGCTCCTTTAATTGGAGAGCAAGTGAATTTGGTGATTCACCCAAGGAGCATCTCATATTTTGTTTTAAAAGCAGAAATTGTTTGTGCTTAACACTGAAGTCTTATAAACCTCGTGTGCTTTGAGAAGACCTAGGAACTCAACATTCTGACTAATGTGCCATAACCTGGCATCAAACACTGGGATAAATGTTTTTATGAAGTCACTTTAAAACAAAACTAAGCTTAGTGTGCTTGGGAGAGACTTCCCAGCTATGTTGCACCACCCATATCAGTGCAGCAGTGGAGTGATTGAAATTGTGCCTATCAATCCCTGTCAGACAGACTGTGTGCTGCAGGACCCACCAAAAAAACCAAAAAAAGCAGTGGTGTTCTTGGATGACTCCTTTAGATATCTGTGTACTGCATACGTGAACTATGAGTCAGGAGATTTTTGGCAATCAAATCAAATGGCTTACATTTGAAATCATAGTGTCTCTGAGTGAAATTTGTGCATGCCTGCAGAGAGTTCTTGCTTCGGGTGTCTGCTTGAGGAAGGAGTGCACCAAAATGCTTGTGTTCTAAAAGAGTCTTGGTATTACTAGATCAAAATCAGGATATTCCAGCAAGTGAAGTTGTCCTGGGGTGACTTTATGATGCTCATATCCCCATTCATCTGGTTAACCCAGAAATAAGTTTTGCACCTTTGAGACTGGTCCTGAGAGTGAAGAGGGGGGAAGAAGCAGCACACAGTTTTTCTCCCAAATTTGTCCTAAAACAGGACAGGAGTCATCAAGGGTGTAACCATTACTGAAGAGTAAAATTAATGTCTTACGGAACTTCAGTTGCACTGCTGCTGACATGGGAGGGTAGGGCAGGCTTGGTGCTGATGTTTAGGCAAATGCTGGAGCTTTTAATGGGAATTGCTGTTGACACTGTGTGAGGTGATAGAGACAGTGATAAGCCTATCTGTGGTA